GGTGTGAATTGTTGGTGTGGGATAGGAGGAAGGATTCCTGACACGTCTTTCCCTCGTCAGAGTACTGCTCTTGGCTGGAGAACGTCAAGGCTTTTGTAGATGCTTGATGTGATGGCACTTTGGTGTGAAAGCCAAGGTGGATGTGTGATTCGAAATGAAGGTGCAGATCCAAAACGGGTCTCAAGGTTGGGACACCTACGCAAGATTCGGTTCGGATCGCACTGGCATTCATCAACCACTTCTCATTACAATGGCTGAATGACCTTGTGTCGACGTTTGATTGGACCAAGTCTGAACGTGTGTGTGACATGTCGCCCGCAGGGTCATCCACTCGATCGATGCTGGCGCCTCAAGCGTTGTCATGAATGCAGGAGCTTACTCAATCTCGTGTGTCTTGGGCCGATGATGCGCGTATGACCCTTATTGTCTGGTCCAGAGCTGTCCCCTCTGCGCGTGGAGCAACTCACAACTGTTGCGCTGTTGAGTGCTGACGCTTGGGCGAGGTGTCAAAAAGGTTGAAATGAAGAGCGGGAAGATTGGGTATGCGGACAATTTCCACGCTCTCTCTCTCTCTCTCTCTGTGTCTCCGCACGATGGCGGGCTCTGTGGGCCAGAAAAGCGCGAGGCACAAGGGCGCACCAAAAGTTGGCAGGATGGAGTGGAGTGGGTCAAGATGAGAGCTGGTGCATTCAATCACATTTCAGGTTCGCAATCACAATGTGAATCAATCAATCTCGAGTCTTGCCCCGGCAAAGACAGCTTAAGGACGCACTCCGGACTGTGACGAGTGTTGAGTGCGAATCAAGCTGAATCACGACAACCGTGAATCGTGAATTGTGAATCACTGATCACGATTGTGAATGTGAATGTGAATGGGAATGTGAATGGGAACGTTGCCCCGTGCTTCGGCAGCAGACACTGAGAGGAGCCGTGGCGATAGCTGTAGGTACGCGTACGATATGTCCACGCCCTCGCGATGTATCGCTCATTCTCACAACTCTTCTGCTGACTGTGACTCCAGC